TGTTCGTTATGGACAAACTGTGACTAGCACAGAAGTCCAATAACAAAACACCACTCGAGTTCAGATCGGGGGGGCCGTTCCTCCCAATCACGCCCCTCCAGGTGTCGCTGTCGCTGCCCACGTGGGCGTTGAAGTCCCCCAGTAGAACAACAGAGTCCCCAGTCGGGACCTTTTCCAGCACCCCTCCCAGGGACTCCAAGAAGGCCGGGTACTCTAGACTGCCATTCGGCCTGTAGGCACAAACTGCAGTGAGAGACCTATCCCCGACCCGAAGGCGCAGGGAAGCGACCCCCTCGTTCACCGGGGTAAACTCCAATACATGGCGGCTAAGCTGGGGAGCTATGAGCAAGCCCACAGCAGCCCGCCGCCTCTCATCGCGGGAAACTCCAGAGTAGTAGAGAGTCCAGCCTCTCTCGAGAAGTACGGTTCCAGAGCCCAAGCTGTGCGTGGAGGTTCGTTTATGTTGTTTTTTTAAGGGGTGGTGTGCATATTGTGTTAAGCACTTTGGTCACCTTCGGCTGTGTTAAATGTGCTATATAAATAAAGTTGATGATGATGATTTTGTATACATTGGCTATTTATTTTCATTACATCTTGCCAAAAAGTGTGGGGGATGAAATGCTTTTTTTTTTAGAAAAAGTGTGGGTGTTACGTTCCCCATGGCTGCAACGCGCATGTCTCCATGTAAAGCTCTATAGTGGCGCAACATGGGCGAGGGGTTGTTTTCTTAAACAAACTCCTTGGAACATGACAGACACCTCATGGGAATTACCTTAATGATCAGGTGGAATCAAATTACTCTGAACAAACACTAAATAAATTATGTCTAGATAAGAACTAATATGCACATACGTTGTTCAGCAAAATCAAATCAAAATGTTCCCAAACTTACTTGCTCAATTGCAACATAGCACATGCCACAGTGAGCCACATGTTTCCATTCAACTATGTAAAGGTTTGGGAAGTATTGAAATACTCGCTGAACTGAATGGGTGGGAGTTCCTGAGTGAAGCTTTACACGTCATCTCTGGTGTAATCATCTCTCCTTGATACAAGCATTAGCACGGAACTTCACTGAAAAATTATGTACAGTGCCTTGCGAAAGTATTCGGCCCCCTTGAACTTTGCGACCTTTTGCCACATTTCAGGCTTCAAACATAAAGATATAAAACTGTAATTTTTTGTGAAGAATCAACAACAAGTGGGACACAATCATGAAGTGGAACGAAATTTATTGGATATGTCAAACTTTTTTAACAAATAAAAAAACTGAAAAATTGGGCGTGCAAAATTATTCAGCCCCCTTAAGTTAATACTTTGTAGCGCCACCTTTTGCTGCGATTACAGCTGTAAGTCACTTGGGGTATGTCTCTATCAGTTTTGCACATCGAGAGACGGAAATTTTTGCCCATTCCTCCTTGCAAAACAGCTCGAGCTCAGTGAGGTTGGATAGAGAGCGTTTGTGAACAGCAGTTTTCGCATAACATCACTAATATAAGTTACACTTATCTATTGCAATATAACATTGATGTTTCCGCACGTTACTGCTGAAAACCATAAAAACTGAAAAAATTGCTTTTTGATGATGTCTTTCTTGAATATCACAGGCTGCTGTTCTTCATTCATCTCTTATCTTCTATGGTAATTTCTTTACAACTGTTAACATACTGGCAGGCATATTGAGCTCAGACATATATATTACATAAACATTTCAGACATTACAGCATCTTCTTAAAAAGAAACCATAAGCTATGAGTGCTTGGACATCTGCTGTAATTGCTGGCCACGATAGAGCTTTGTTCAAATAATCTGATGCAATCTTTTGCTCATTTCCAAAATACTCTTCCAACAAAGTCTTTGCCTTGCTTTACCCTCTATTTACTGCCCTATGCGGACAACTTCTAACAACTTGTCTTGGTTGCCCTCTGGTGTTCTGCTCCAGGAAGTACAGACAGTCTTCAGGATCATTTGCCTTTTCTTCAAATCAAATGTATTTATATAGCACTTTAAAAACAACATCCAGCTGACCAAAGTACTTTACATGGTAGAATGAAATCACAATAAATGACTAAAATAGAGTAAATAAGATCAGTGCAAATAAAAATAAAATGGCACAATAACAGACGCGCACTTAGCATACAGTCTTATGCAAAAGTTTAGGCACCCCTTGATAAATAACAGATTTTGGTGATTTTTTATTTGAACAGATGTTAACACAGTTTCTCTTGGAAATGGAAAAAATGCACAATATTTTCTGCAAACAGTGATGCATAGTAACTTCTTATGCCATAAATTGAACAAAAATAAAAAATAAAAACATTATTATGGCATGGTGCAAAAGTTTGGGCACCCTACACAATCAGTACTTAGTAACACCTCCTCTGGCAGATATCACAGCTTGCAAACGCTTTTCATAGCCAGCTAAAAGTCTTTCAATTCTTGTACTTGGGATCTTCTCCCATTCTTCCTTGCAAAAGGCTTCTAGTTCTGTAATATTCTTTGGTCGTCTTGCATGCACAGCTCTTTTAAGATCTACCCACAAATTTTCAATGATGTTTAAATCAGGGGACTGTGATGGCCATTCCAAAACCTTCAGCCTGCGTCTCTTGAGGTATTCCATAGTGGATTTCGAGGTATGTTTAGGATCATTGTCCTGTTGTAGAAGCCATCCTCTTTTCAGCTTCAGCTTTTTTACAGATGGTGTGATGTTTGCTTCCAGAATTTGCTGGTATTTAGTGGAATCCATTCTTCCCTCCACCCGTGCAATGTTTCCTGTGCCACTGGCTGCAACACAACCCCAGAGCATGATAGATCCACCCCCATGCTTAATAGTTGGCAAGGTGTTCTTTTCATGAAATGCTGCTCCTTTTTTTCTCCAAACATGCCTTTGCTGATTGTGTCCAAAGAGTTCTATTTTAACTTCATCAGTCCACAGCACTTGTTTCCAAAACGCATCGGGCTTCTGTAGATGTCCTGTTGCATACTTCAGATGTTGGATTTTATGATGGGGACGCAGATAAGGTTTTCTTCTGCTGACTCTTCCATGAAGGCCTTGTCTGTGCAAGCATCGCTGCACAGTGGAACGGTGCACCACCACTCCTGAGTCTGCTAAATCTTCCTGCAGGTTTTTTGCAGTCAAATGGGGGTTTTGATTTGTCTTTCTGACCAGCATACGAGCAGTTCTGTCCGAGAGTTTTCTTGGTCTTCCAGATCTCATCTTGACCTCCACAGTTCCCCTGATCTGCCATCTCTTAATTACATTTCTTACTGTGGAAACTGCAAGCTGACAACGCTTTGCTATCTTCTTGTAGCCTTCTCCTGCATTGTGGGCGTCAATAACTTTCATTTTCAGGGTCTTACACAGCTGCTTAGAGGAACCCATGGTTGCTGGGTGTCCACAAGTGTGTGCACAAGGTTTGAAGAGTCAAAGTATTTGTACAGCTTTGAAATTGGCATTTACCAATGACAGCTGTTGCTGTGCATCAGATCTAACGAGCTGATTAAGGTCTGATACCTTGTGAGAGACTTTGAGACTCTGGAACTCTTAGGGTGCCCAAACTTTTGCACCATGCCATAATAATGTTTTTATTTTTTATTTTTGTTCAATTTATGGCATAAGAAGTAACTATGCATCACTGTTTGCTGAAAATATTGTGCATTTTTTCCATTTCCAAGAGAAACTGTGTTAACATCTGTTCAAATAAAAAATCACCAAAATCTGTTATTTATCAAGGGGTGCCTAAACTTTTGCATAAGACTGTATGTTCAATAAATTAAAATTAAAAGGAATGCATCAGGCTCTACTGTGTATTAAAAGCCAAGCCAAATAAATATTTTCTTCAATACTTACTCAAAGGCTCTCATGAATATATGATACTGCAGAGGATCTCCATCAAATATTTGAACCTCTTTTTCACAAAAATGATCTAGATTGCTGTTGCGCCAGCATATTGGTTATTTAATTTTGCCTCACCATTGTAGATAACAAAAATAATATTGCCATCACAAGCAGCTGGTTGAGCATGAACACTTCTTGGTTGAGAAAACAGTTTTGTTGAAACATCAGGCTTTATGTTCTGCTCAGTTGGTCCTTGTTCATGCATTCATGTTTCCACATTTGTCATATTTCTTTTTCTTTGGTCTTCTGTCTGTCCCATGAGACTCTCCATTACCCTGAGGCACAAATGAATCTGTGCTCTACTGAATGTTATTTTCTAGTAGTAGAAATAGGTAATTACAGAAATGTAAATTTGTTTACAACAGGTAGTTGAAGAGAAAACATGCTTGGGAAGTTAGAGGGCATGCCACAGGCTGTTTTATTTATTTTTTTGGTTGGGTTTAGACATACTGTAGGATAGCGTTTGGCAGGTGTTATTTGATTTTAACATCATAGACAACACTGTTTTCCACAGGTTTGGTTGAACACAGCAGTGTTATGAAGAAGTGTGAGTGACTAAGTGAGCACAACAACAATGGGGAAGCGGAGGATCCCAGATCTGTACAGAGCTCCTTTTCCTTTATACTCCATTAAAGTGGACTCTAAGACAGGGCTGGTGATCACAGCAGGAGGAGGAGGGGCCTCCAAGACAGGCATAAAGAATGCTGTGGTAAGTACTTTGGATGTGTTCTAGTGATTAACCTACAGTCACCCTGACAGCTCTGCAATACAGTACATCTTGAGAAAGTGCCTAAATAAAAACATGAAGAAAAGTGCTTCGCCAGTGTGGCAGCACATTCTGTAGTTGCTTGCATTGCATGTTTTCATTTGGGGAGTGTAACGCTTGTTTGTGTGTGTTACATGTCTTTGTGTATGTTTGCTTTAATTGGGTGTATTTTCTAGCATTGTGTGCTTGTGGTTGCTTGTATTTTAGGTAAAGCATTGAGAAAATTTGTTTGTTTTTTTTTACAATTCTGACCTGCCAATAATACTGTCACACACTGAATATATTATGCCGAAATAATAATTGACTGTTTATTGTGCTGTTTTTACAGCACTGTGTTTATTGCTGAGTATGAATGGAAATTTGGATTTCAGATACAATGTGTGTAAACAAGCTGCAGAAGTAGCTGACTCATTGTGTGTTTCAGCACTTCCTGGATCTACAGCTAGTTGGAGAACACCAGTACAATGCCAGTCTCCTTCACGCTCATGATACTGACACACGTGCCACCATGAACATGGCTGTAGGTGATGGTGTCATTGCTGCAGGACAGGATGGGACCTGCTGTCTAATGACGTTTAAACACTGCACACAGAAAGGAAGAGGAAAAGCTTTTGCTAAAGATGGTGAGGCTGGCTGCTACAGTCCAAGATATACCTGTTTTAAAAACGGCATGAAAAAATATGCTACATAGTTTATATGAGCCTGGCTCATTTCTAGTCCAAAGGCATTTAGTTTGCCGGAAATTCGAACAGATTTATAACTATATATATATATATACAGTCTTATGCAAAAGTTTAGGCACCCCTTGATAAATAACAGATTTTGGTGATTTTTTATTTGAACAGATGTTAACACAGTTTCTCTTGGAAATGGAAAAAATGCACAATATTTTCTGCAAACAGTGATGCATAGTTACTTCTTATGCCATAAATTGAACAAAAATAAAAAATAAAAACATTATTATGGCATGGTGCAAAAGTTTGGGCACCCTAAGAGTTCCAGAGTCTCAAAGTCTCTCACAAGGTATCAGACCTTAATCAGCTCGTTAGATCTGATGCACAGCAACAGCTGTCATTGGTAAATGCCAATTTCAAAGCTGTACAAATACTTTGACTCTTCAAACCTTGTGCACACACTTGTGGACACCCAGCAACCATGGGTTCCTCTAAGCAGCTGTGTAAGATATATATATAAAAGCTTCCTTAGCTAATGTAACTTAGCTAATTCAGTACATGTTAGCAAAGCAATCTCTGTACTTGTAAAACAGGCTACTTTCTGCTATCTATTTTGTTACCATTCACAAGAATTATAGCCTACTATGTTTTCTTTATGGAGGCTAAGCTAATCAGCAGCTGTAACTGCCATCCTGAGTTGGCGGTACAGAGAAATATCCAGTCAGCTGTTTCATTACCTTGGTGATGCTGCCAATCACACAAATGTTTGTCCAAACAGGTCATTCCTCTTGCCACCTTACATTTGATTTTGAGTCACCTCTCTGTTATTTTTCAGTGATATAACTCTCCGTTGTTTTTACATTCATTTTGTCACCTTTTATATTTATTCATGTTCAGCAAAAACCTAAGCGCTGGGTCTAAGCCTTTCTCTGGTAGGGAAAACCCTGCAAAAAATTGTCTTGCCTGAACTTGCACAAATGCAGTTTTGCACACTTTATAGAGACAGTCTGAGAAGACAGAAGACGTACTTGCTGCCTAAAAGGTTTCCACCAAAATCATGAATTAAAGTTATTTAAAATACATTTGCAAAAAATTCTAAAAATGTTTTGCTGTTGTGGGTTATTGAGGTACATTTATTCTCTCTGGATACTCTGGCTTCCTCCCACAGTCCAAATACCTGCAGCTTAGCTTGATTGGCTGCCCTAAATTGCCTGTAGGAGTGAGGGTGGATGTGTGGTTGTCTGTTTCTAAGTGTCAGCCCTGTGACAGACTGGCAACCTGTCCAGGGTGTGCCCACCTCTTGCCCAATGTCAGCTGGGATTAGCTCCAGCCCCCTGCGACCTTCTACTGGATAAGTGGTATAGATAGTGGATGGATGAATACATCTAAACCTGTGTCTTAGTTGACAGATCATATCTGTTTTTCTCATTCAAGCTTCTTTATCATCAGTAAAAACTTGTCATTTGTGCAGTAGGGAACAGTGTCCAGCAAGGTAGCGCCAGGCGACGAGCTGGGAAAGGAGGCAAAGGTGGACAGGATGGATCTGCAGCATCTGGAGATAAGTCAGAGTTAAAGGATGAGACAGCTTCCGTTTCTGTGACTGCTTTAGCTGAAGTACAGTCAGACCTCAACCATCAGGACCCGCTCCAGAAGGTGGTTAGGTTCAGTCCTGACCTAAGCCTTCTTCTGACAGGAGGTACAGATGGACACATTCGAATCTGGGAGGTAAACCCCTTTCTACTTCTTTTTACTTTGTACTGCTTCCACGGCATCCATGTCTCAGTGGTGTCTTCAGTCTTGGAGCATGTACAGTACTGTATTTGTCTGGTTCATTTGGTTCTTTTGAACTGCAACATGAATATACACCAATCAATTCAATTCAGTTTTATTTGTATAGCACCAAATCACAACCAAAAGTCATCCTACACTTTACAAATCAGCCATAGCATTATGACTACCTGGCCAGTATTGTGTAGGTCCCCTTCTGACACCAAAACCATTTTGATCTGTTTATGCATGGACTCCACAAGGCCACTGAGAGTGTCCTCTGGTATCTGGCACCGAGACATCAGCAGCAGATCCTTTAAGTCCTGTAAGTTGTGAGGTGGGCCCCCCATGGATTTAACTTGTTTGTCCAGCACACCCCACAGATGCTTGATTTGGATTGAAATCTGGGGAATTTGGAGTCCAAGGCAGCACCTTGAACTCATTGTCATGTTCTTAGAATCATTCCTGAACTATTTTTTGCAGTGTGATAGGTCTCATTAGCCTGCTGAAAGAGGCCACTGCCATTAGGGAATACCATTGCCATGAAGGGGTGTACTTGGTCTGCAGCAGTGTTTAGGTAGGTGGCATGGCTCAATTAACAGCCACATGAATGGCAGGACCCAAGGTTTCCCAGCAAGACATTGCTCAAAGCATCACACTGCCTCTGCTGGCTTGCCTTCTTCCCACAGTGCATCCTGGTGCTGCTCTTCCCCAGGCAAGCAACTCACAGTTGTAAAAGAAAACATGATTGAACAGACCAGGCCTCCTCCTTTCACTGCTTCGTAGTCCAGTTCTACTACTCACGTGCCTGTGGTAGGCACTTTCGGTGGTGGACAGGTGCCAACATGGAGCACTCTAACCAGTCTGTGGCTACACAGCCCTATATTCAGTAAGCTGAGATGCAGTGTTGTGACACTTTTCTCTCAGAACCAGCATTACGTTTTCCAGCAATTTGTGCTACAGGAGCTCTTCTGTGGTATTGGACAACACATGCTTCTGTCGTGGCTAGAGTGTGATACCGACTAAATTAATTCAGACAAACCATCCCAATTTAAAGGATCATTTAATATTACAATTATTCTGAATAGAGTAGTATTTAAACACATAATCTTGTAGTTAGGGAACAGAGAGCAGAGATCAGAGAACAGAGACTCTCCTCGTGCAATGTGATAGATAAAGCATAAGAAGATTGTCAGAGCACCAGTCAGTCAAGCCATTTGTTGTCAGTCCCGAGCAGTGAGTCTTAATTCAGCGTCCCCCCAGCCGGCTGGGTCAGCGTCCCCACAAAGTACACGGTTTACTGTCCCACTAGCATTGTCATCTTCTCTCTCCCTTCTTCTGCTCTAACCCAGCTTTTTATCTGCTCATACGCACACAGCCCGTCATGGCCTGAGCCATGAAGACGCGGTCCCATGCCAGCTACCCACACACACCTTCTTCCAAGCATTGTCTAAACTGTCCAGTACATGACCTTCTGGGTCACATTGACCTAGCGCACATTTCCTTTTTCTAAACCTGAACAGAGCACACGAACAGTTCACATAAGGCTACAGCTACAATATATTCATTCCCTATCTGAGGACAAAGTCACTCAGGATGTTGACCCCTAGGCTAAACAAGGGACACAGCCCAAGATATTCTTGCCTGCGCCAGAGACAGATCAAGCTTCCGTACACACCAAGCTCAGCCTTACATCCTTACACAACTAACACAAATATTATCTAAATATGAACTACATACTGTTCTATTACATATTACCTCTGGAATCTTGTTTATTGCTAACCACTAGACATGCTAGTGATGGATAAACCAAGGCTTTCTGAAACACTGAATGAATAGGAAGCAATTGTGTTTATAATGGTTCACTTTTTCAAAGCATTTGACACAGTCAAAAAGGTGCCATCTGCTGGCCAAACCCCTGATACTCTATTTGAATGATTGGAATAAATCTGAGACTTAGCAGAAACAGTTCGTTAGAATATGGTCTTAATGGTTTTATTAAAGTTATTTTGTTCAATAAAACTAATATTATGTATGACAACAGACCAATTTTAAACTGATTCTGCCACTGCATTTAAATACTGAGAAGTATATTTATTATTGAAAACCAGCACAACACCACACTGATACATAATGTAACAAGGCCTCATTTCAGGTCGTCACATGATTTTTCGCATGGTGAAGCGAGGCATTAAAACATTGTGCCGTGATACTTCTGCTTTGAAAGGCTGATATGGTGTCGAGCCTTGTGCTTCAAGCAAAACATTAGTACCCCATGTGCATCACTGAGCCTTGGGCACCCATGACCCTGTCACCGGTTCACCTCTTGTCCTTCCTTAGACCACTGTTGATAGGTACTAACCACTGTAGACTGGGAACACACAACAAGTTTGGGAGGAGCACTGACCCAGTCGTCCGACAGTTTGGCCCTTGTCGAAGTCACTGAGATCCTTACACTTGTCCATTTTTCCTGCTTCCAGCTCATCAACTTTAAGGACTGAATGTTCACTTGCTGCCAAATATACCCCACACACTCACTGGTGCCATTGCAATGAGATAATCAGTTATTCACAAATGGTACGAATGAATACAAATATTTGATGTCAGATCAAACCTTTGAGTGCAAACCTGGAAAGCCTGGAATGACCAACAGCAACAGGACTCAGGAACAGCTACAGTGCTCTTGTTTTTTCAGTCCAATTATTTTGTATTTATTTTTATATATTTATCTTTTCTCAAGAATATAATATGAATGTAAAGTGAGCACTATCAATATATTTGAGTTATAGAAATTATGAGCCAATGGTTGATCTGACTGAAAAAAGGTCAAATTAAATATTTTCAAAATTTTTTAATTAAATGTTGGAAAAAAGTCTGCTTAATAAACAATATAAGAAATAATACAAGATACAATTCCTGTTAAAGATGGGGACAAGAGAGGTGTCAGACAGCAGGGCACCTGTAAGACAAAATGAAATATTCATTAGAATTCTTCTCAAAAAGAAATTCAAATAAGCAAATTTTACTTCAAATTTCAGTGTTCAACTGCAAACCCTTCTATTCTTCCTGAGAATTTTCGAGCTTCATACTGGTGGGTGCCTATTTAAAGCTGCAGGCCCACGCTAGCACACTACAGCTCCTGGCAGAACTGATAACTAGCATGGAGCTAGAACATCCTGACTCTCCACTCATTGTTCTAGGGGACTTTAACAGAGCAAATCTCACCTACGAACTGCCCAAATACAGACAGCACATCATCTGTCCCACCAGGGACAAAATCACACTTGACCACTGCTACACAACAATAAAAGATGCCTATAGCTCTCGCAGCCCTCGGACTCTCAGATCACTGTATGGTCCATCTTATTCCAACCTACAGGCAGAAACTTAAAGCTGCAAAGCCTGTAGTCAAAACAGTGAAGAGCTGGACCGAGCAGGCTAAGTCAGAGCTACAGGCCTGCTTTGACTGCACAGACTGGAGTGTATTTGAGCTACAGCTACAGACCTGGATGAACTCACTGACACTATGACATCTTATATAGCTTCTGTGAGGAAGTGTGTGTGTGTGTGTGTGTCCAAAAAGGCCTTCTGCACATACAACAACAAGCCCTGGTTTACATGCTCTAACCATGAGAGAAAGGAACTGCAGGTTTGACAAACAACACTCCCCCCTCACCCTCCCCACCTCAGATCCAGCAGCTGCTCCACCAACAATCACCACCCTTCCCTCCAGCCCCCCACCTCTAATGATTTGTGAAAAGGATGTGCATGGCCTCTTTAAAAGACAAAAGATCAGAAAGGCTCCAGGTCCAGATGGTGTGACCCCCTGTTGCCTGAAAGTGTGTGCTGATCAGCTGGCCCCCATCTTCACCCTTATCTTCAACAGGTCACTGGAGCTGTGTGAAGTCCCCTCTTGCTTCAAACGCTCCACCATGATGCCAGTCCCCAAGAAAACCTCCAGGAGTGGACTGAACGACTACAGACTTGTCAACCTGTTATCTGTAGTTATGAAGTCCTTTGAAAGACTGGTGTCGGCCCACCTGAAGGACATTGTTGACCCCCTGCTGGACCCGTACTGGTCAAGCAGGTCAGTGGACGATGCAGTGAACATGGCACTGCATTACATCCTGCAACGCCTCGACACCCCAGGGACCTATGCACAGGACCTCTTTCT